TTTTTTTGGTCTGGTTCATATGTTGTCACATGACCCGAAAATCTTAATTGAACTTACTCTTGAATTTTAGTTCATTGATTGAACTTAAGCTATATTTTGACTCTTCAATATTTCATAAATGTCTCTTATATACTTTAATTCTCTGAAAACATTTTGAATTATTTTGTAGTCTTACAGACTGCTGGCGCCCGACAATTTTTTTGTGGAATCAGAACTGCACTTAGTTAACATCTTTTTTTATTAAAATACCTTCGTGATCAAGTTTTCATTGGTTTAGTACTTGTAAATTGTTTTGTTATATGACTTGAATTCCTAATGGAATTTGTTAATTTCTTTTGATTTTCATATTTTGAAAATAATAATGCACTGTTTTTTTCAATATTGGATATTGGTTTAAAATATCACTGTATATGATGTTCTTTTTGAGTTTGGAGTATTGCGAGATAATCTGGCAATTGTTTTGAGAAAGATTATTATTTTTTTTAGTACCTCTTATGGTTTAGGTACTTACTTAGTTTTGAAGTTTTTAGTAGTCAGTCGTGCATTTTGGATGCCATTGTGATTCGTCCTTGGACTACTTCTGAAGCTTTTGGTTTATTATTTTTCTCGTCTTAGGTATGACGATGTTTTATGTTTTGGGTTTTTCATCATATGATGATAGTTTTTTTTTAAGTGCAACTTCACTGTACTTTTCAGCGAGTTGGTGCTATAACCATCCCTCTTGTTTGGTAGACTTGAGGCTATCCCTTTTTCTTCTAATTCTCTTCTAACATTTTTGTTTCTACCTTACTTTTGCTACTTGTTATCTGGTCGAATGGTTGTACATTTGTCCTTCCGTGATAACTTTCAATTTCCTAGTAAAAAAAAAATTCTTAAATGCTTCTTCGATTTTTTTTTTTTTTGTTAAGTTGGGGCGAGTGTAACGGTTTCACCGTCCGATCGTATTTATTAAATCACTTCTCGATTATCATTTCATTAATCCCATCTCTAGCTTTTCTACTTGGAAAATTTTCCGCTTGGAGCGCTTGATGCGGAGTTCCTGATCTGCGATCTTCCTCGCGCTTCCTTTTTCACTTGAGCCGCCGATCGAACAACGGCTAGAAATTTCTTCTCTGTAGCACAAGGTTATATAGCACCATGTGCTAGAATTTTCTAGAATGTGTGTCCGTATAGGACAAAAATGATTGGGGCCACCCCCTTTCTCTTTCCCTTTCACTTTGCCTAGCCTTGGCCAATATTTTCACCCATGCATGTGCCTTGGCAGCGCCATCGCCTTTAACTTCGCCTACAACTGGTCATGAAGCCACTATAGTGAGGTCACCCCTCACAACTGGGACCTCCACTTCAACCATCCTCGCTTCAGTCGAGTCAAAATGGACCAGCGAAAGATAAGTCGATAGCGTTATAGCAGCGCCAAAGATGTAAAACTTATTTTGTTATTTTTGTAAAATTGTAATGTAATGAAAATGCCTTTTTTTTGTTAAATAAAATCTGTTAAATTTTTGTGTTCTGTTTGTTCTTCTATCCTCTAGCCATGCCATGGTCGACATATAGCTACACGCCTGTAGATGTCTTCATGCCACCGACTGAGCTACCGGAAGCTAATGGTAACCCCCTTTCTGTGATTGTGCAGAAAAGTTGGAATCTTCATTGCATTCCATCTTTTCTGGACTTTTTGCGGAAAGGAAGCGTTACAGCTATGCGCTCAATATATTCCAAACTTACAACAAAGTAGTGCAGCAGCAAAACTTTGGGCATTTCGAAGTGCACGACCTCACGTGGCACTAACAATGTAAAAGGTTTCACCATGTTGCTCTTATTAAAAGCTTGCATATCGAGTTACATCAAGCATACGGAATTGAGAATAATTGTATATTACAAGTGGAAAACTTTCGCAGACTGAATGTTTATACTTCTTGCATATAATAAGTTATTCGTTATGTTACATATATCTCCATATTAAACATTCCTAATTTTAAACGTATTCTGATAGCTGTGATTAATAGAAACAGTTGTAATGGCTTTTATTTTTCACAGCCACCTATGCGTTATAGACTTAGTTTGCATTGAAATGAAAATACGTTGATAAGCTGTAATAATTGCAAGATGTGTTATTTTTATGCTGCAAATTTGATTAGGGACTGATAAAGTTGGTGTTTTCTATTATATATTACCAAAATATTGATTGTTAATATTTTAAACATAGAACACCCTGCTACATTTTTATTGTTCGTGTTTGATAAGAAAAAAACTAAGATTTCAATAGTTGGGCCAACTGAAGTGGGAAGGGGCTCGTATATACATCTTAAGCTTTTCCACTATTCTATATGTATATTCAAACTATATTGTATAAGAAGCTTGACACTCGATACCCTAGGAACAGCAATAGAAGATAACCAGATCGCTGACCACCGGTCGGTTAGAAAGGAAATACAGCTGAGCTTATAATTGAAGAATTTCGTAGGATGAGCATAACATTATATTTTTGTTTTTACGATCTTTTTTAGAAGTTCGGAGTAGAGGACCAAATAAAAATTCGAATGCAACGCTATCTTGCTCCTAAAAATCTTAAAACTACGAGAAGTAGAATAAGTACATACAATTTGACTCTAGCAGTGGAAAAAATGCCACGTGCATTATTCACTATTTTTTTAAAAACAGGCCTCAAAAACCACTAGAAAATGACATTTCTTTCAACACGCCTTATGACCCATCACAAAATATACATTTATGTGTTGTCTCCATGCGATACAAGATGAGTATCCCAGCTTTAAAAACTGGTTTTAATATTTATACATAAAGTCATACACAAAATTTGTGGCACACAGCAGTATCTAATCCTAAAGCAAGGAAAAAGATAAAGATATAGTATTTCTGCATCCATAGTTGGAATTAGTGAGTTGGACATAAAACCCTACTTTTTGAACTCTTATAACAGTTGAAATCAGAAGAACGATTCTTGTTGTTCAGTGGAGGGTAGATTACATCTACTGTACCACTAGAATCGCCAGCCTCTATCAGTCACATTGCGGTTCTTGCAGTCCCTGCCGATAGCCGCTACTCTCCCAGTGGTTTATTCTCGTAACTGATGGCGCTTTCCGTCGTCTTATTGCGATAGATCTCATACCTTGTAGTTACTTTGCTTTCGTTCTTTGTCCCAGAGACCAATCCTAGACCATACTGATCAGTTGCCAAAAAGCACAAAGCAGCTATCAATGATTGGCTGTCGATGTTTGAATGGACGAGCTTAGACATGTTGTATACTACTTACACCCCCTGTACATACGTAGACCGACAAGCTGACAACCAATTTTGACAGGTCAACCATCGCTGACAACGACATAAGGACAACAATCCTACCAGCGAATGACATACAGCTTTGTGTTCTATAGACTGAATAAATATAAGCGCTTGGCTGCCTGCTGTGTCAACATGCCCATAATCTCATTGACTAATATTTAGTTCTTCGAGGAATGGTACCTTCTCATGACTTTTCAGTCATGAATTGCTTTTCAATAATGTAAGATCCTGTTACGTTGCGACTGACTGTCATATTCTGGCAGTGGTAAGAAGACTACCGATAAATGCTTTTTCACAGGATGCGTCTTAAAAATTTGACGAAGTTATACTCGTATAACGTAACGTGGCGCGTCAAGAGTACAAGGTGATCGATTTGTGGTGAAGGAGAGCGATATCCAAATCGCCAGGGGCATAAAAATTTAGTTATGAATATAACATAATAGATGTTCATCCTAGAAAAAAAGAAGTTAACTAATGTTTTCCAACAAATAATAATAAAAGGCAATAGAACCTCGATCTCCATGATCAGATCAAATGCTTGGCGTATGTTCCAATGTTCCAACATACTACAACTTATTATTCCTGGTAAGGGTTAAACGGAGAACAGTGCGGTTTCAAACAGAATGATATACGAGCTGCACTTATTGGACTGGTATTTCGTACCTACTAAAGTTTGGATGGAATGTTCACTCCTACATACAAATGAGACGTTTCGGCTTATGATCTGCCTACGCTGGCGTAGTTCACATATTTTTGTTTCAGGACCATACATATCAGATGCGTATATAAAAATACTCGGACATACGTACAACTATTTCGAAGACAAACCAAAGTGAGATACATAAACTGTTTTTAAACATAATTCAGGTAGATGTTCAAACGCATCATTTTGAAAGTATTTTGACAGATAAATAGCAAAACAGTTTTAGAAGGTTTTATTCGTAAGCTATAAAACGTCTTTAATTGGTGCAAACATGGTAAAACCGTATTGCTATAGTGTATTAGTGCGTCACAGCATGTTGTGTCAAAGTACAGTAACTTTCGGTCAAAATATTTCAGAAACTTCTACAAATTTGATGGAATTGGTCAGGATGGGTTAGGGAATATCAGATCGTACCACCGACGGTATATCTATAGACACTGCGGTTCACTCATGATTATACATTAATTTGTTTGATTTCCTTGTTAGCCGACTGGTGACTGAGCAAGTGGCGTATCATAATGAAAATATTATCACACTCACAAAATAATGATCGATTATTCAAGCTGTGGAATTCGCGTCGGTCATATTTTTCTGGAACATTGGTTAAATCAGGTTAGGTGTATAGAAATAGGTTCTGTTTTCAAATCTGGGACATATGAAATTCTCCCATTGTATAAGAATCTCGCAGGTGAATGAAAAATTGGTTTGAGGATCGAAAGATCCAAAAAAATAAAATACCTACTTTTGATTATTTTCTTCTGTCCTACAAGCATACCAGATATTATTCTGGAATACCCTGTATAGGCCATTATGGTAGCTCCAATACAATAATTTCAGTCTGGTGGCGTAGTGGTTAATATTGTGCATCTCAATAAAATGTAAAATGGCGCCAGAATATGGGTATGTGACGTGCATATGTGTTTCTTCGCTAGTTTGTGTGTTGTCCGCTCCTTTCCCAGTATCCCCCTATATCTCTTCGGTATACAGGAGTATTTAGGCATGGCTCAAGCATAAAAACTCAGTTCAACTGTATTTTTTCTTGTTTCAGGCTGCCTACATCCGAATTTCGTACAAGCTGCGGTACCGTTTTGCGACAGGTTTTGTGAGTAGCGATGACCACTCGCAGAAGAACCGTAGGCAGCTCCGAGGGCGCAGGTTGCAGAGAACCAACCTGCTCCTGGGTTCCATCGCAGTCATCTTCTGCATCAGCTGGTTGCCCTTGAACGTGTTCAATTTGGTCGCAGACTTGAGCGCTAATGAGAAATTCACCACACAACCCATGATGGTATGTTCCGTGTAGACATTTTTCAAGGCTGAGCTGGATCTCTTTGCTTTCTGTCTTTCTGACCGTCACTAACGATACATAACGTGGTTCAAGTGTAGTCTTGGACGAAGACAGCGTATGGTTTCATGAAAAGCTCACGGTGTAGTGCACAAGGAGATGACAACTTAATATTATAATTTTACGCATAAACTGGTCAACACTCCAAATCCTCCAGGTCTGATCAAACATTTCATACCTCGCAAGGACACTCAGCAAAATATAAGATCATTGATTTTGACATATGTAATTACACATTATTCGCTTATTTGGGTGCTCTCCTTCTAGTGGTTGAGTAGAGTAGCTATCAGCTAGACTTCGCCACTGGTATCATATATATTTGTTTATTATATTGAATTTTCTTTGAAAATAAAAGACGGTTTATTATTATTTTATCAAGCTTTGGCGAATTGTTTGTAGAGAAGAATTGGTTTAAATTCATAAAGTAAAGTCGTATTAAAAGCTTCAACTTGCTTAGCTTTAACATTACGTTGAAGCTTCTCAACTGTAAGAGCGAAATGCTCTCTCACCATACCATAATTTGAACTACATTCTTGTTTCGTCGTGATGCAGTCTCACGAGAAGCGTATAAATCTACAACAGCCTGTATCTCGGTAGTGAGACATTTTAGGACATAGTTATGTCTAATAGGATACGTTTTTTTTTTGTTATTTTTGTACGTACTTAAGGCTCGAGAAATATTGTCACTGTTTGGATCAGTCTGTATTTGGGGTAGGAGCATAAGACATTCTTTGCCGATGTGCAACAGAAATTAAGCATCTTATTCACGTAGCGAATTTATTTCTGACAATAGGCGCCCCTGGCTTCTGCTTTGCACATAAATTAGCTTTCTGGCTGAAATATAATGGACAAAGGTCAAAATGCCAATTTTTAATATAGGGTAAATCGGGGTTATATGGCCATAGAGAACAGATGGCCCAACTCGATATTTTCCTAAATAGTTATTAGAGGGCGTTTTTTTCCAATATGGCGTAATGTACTTTTGTGTGATCGTGCTATACTAGAAACTCTGAGTCAATTAACTAAGTTTAAAGGTAAGTTATTTCAAAATTACTGTTTACATGGGCTCAATAGTTTTTTAATACAATTTTCCACTAGCCAAATTTCATAAAATTTTATTAGTCTTCAACAATCCGTCTAGTGTTTATTTTACCATGTGTGGTGCGTTTTGTGTTGCCTAAGCATTTTACTCGAATTAACGTACATAAAATCTAAATCATGCTATGGCCATCTTTCCTCGAATAAAAGGAGAGATGGCCCACTTATTTCCTATGTAAGATGGCCATCGTAGATCATTTGTATTTATTTTAGATGCCGAATATTTACAAAAGAAAATCATTGGAGAGGGCCAAATGGACCGAGGAGAAACTAAAATCTGCAATGAGTACTGTTAAAGATGAGGGATTATCTGTACGTCAGGCTGGAAAAACTTTCGGTATTCCGAGAAAGACATTGGAAAAGCGGATTGAACAGAATGAAGACCATAAGAAAAAATTGGGTCCAGACACTTCTTTCGGGGCTGCACATGAAAACAAACTGGTTCGACATATTAAAGAAATGCAAAAAAGTCGATTTCCACTTACTAGAGATGATTAGCGAACCGTAGCTTATAAATTTGCTGTTCAGCTGGGCTTGAAACATAAATTTAACAATGAGGTTCAGAAAGCTGGATACGTTTGGCTGCATTCATTTCTCACCAGACATCCACAAGTATCAGTTAAAAAAGCAGAAAGTTTGTCGTTGGCGAGGTGCACAGCAATGTCTAGAAAGGTAGTAATTGATTACTTTAAAGTACCAGAGAGTGTTCTGGAAGAAAACAATCTCTTCAAAAACCCGAAAAATATGTTTAATATGGACGAAAGTGGATTACAATTAAACACAACACAGGGGGAAGTTTTGGAAGTAAAACGATCAAAAGTAGTTTCGTCAGTTGCTTCAGCAGAAAAGGGCGAGACTGTAACAGTTGTTGCCTGCTGTAACGCCGAGGGCACCCTTCTTCCTCCTGTCGCTATTATGAAAGGGAAAAATTTTAAAAATTGACTTTATGACAACATGCCTCCTGGTTCTCAGCTGTTTTTGTTGGAGAAGTCAGCGTTCATGAACTCCGACTTATTCCTAAGGTGGCTAAAAACACACTTTGTATCCAGGAAACCGGAAGGCACAATACTTCTCCTACTTGATGGCCATACGTCTCACTCTTCATCGGTAGAAATGCAACAGTATGCCAAAGAACACATCATTCTTTTATGCTTTCCTAGCCATTGTACGCATTATCTGCAACCATTCGACCGGTCGGTATTTAAAAGCGCATTTTATAAAAGCTGTCAGCTGTGGCTTAAACAACATGCAGGAAGACGCATCACTAGATACCAATTTGGAAAGCTCCTATCAGATTGTTGGGCTAAATCTGCCACGCCGAAAAATGCCACTTCAGGTTTTAGAGCTACCGGTATCTACCCTTTTAATCCAGACATAACCCCGGATTATGCATTATGCATTTTCCATTGCCGATCACCTAGATGCTAATGAAATGTCAAGATCACATCATGAAGAAAGACAAAACAGGGATACTACACCATTACCAGTGCCGCAAGTTGAAGGTGGAGTGCCACTTTTGCCGTCTGAAGAGCCTAACGAAATAAAAAACGAAACACCAAGCAAATTATTGCAGGAACTTTCACCTGTGCCAAAGCTTCGAATCGAGTCCACAAAAAAAGATCAAAATCCATCGCAAATATTTTAACATCTGTGAACTTCTTAGAATCAAAGAAAAATACGCAGAAAAACAAACAAACTTCGGAAAAAAATAACAATTTAAAAAGTATGCGTTCAACTAGTTCTGGCAAAAGAGCAAATTTTGGCAACAAAAGGGCCCAGAGTAGGACAAAAATAAGAAAGAAGACCAAAAGAGATGAAAGCTCTTCGGATTCGCAAGTTTCATCCTATGATAGTGACTCCTCAAGAGACGAGGACGATGATCTGTTTTGTTTGTGGGGAGTTCGGAAAAGACAACGAATTATGGTTTAGATGCACGGTATGTGGTTTGTGGATTCACAAACTTTGTAGTGGATCAAATTCTGCCAAACAATTTGTCTGTGGTTTTTGTTTGCCGAAAACTTGAGATTAGCAATAGTCCTTCGTTGCACAAAATAATAAACTTTTGTTCTTGAACTACTAACGTGTTTTTTTACAAAAAAATATGTTGTTTTGTTCTTTTTTTGTAGTGGTTTATAGTTAATTCACTGAGTTAGTTAGTTTTTTAATGTGAGTTTTTAATTTTTGTTTCTGTTATATGTAATAATATGTATTTCACGAGTATTTTTATAAAACTCATTATTTTATTTAAATTTCAGATGGCCATCTTACCTTCTATTATATGGCCATATCTACTAAACACTATAGGAGAGATGGCCCACATATAAAGAATACCGATATGTATCAACAACATGAAAAACCATATTTATAATAAATTTGCACAGAGCAACCAATAATAATTACCATGCCCTACCCTAAAATATTATATTTTTTGTTAAAACCCAATTATTAAAAATATTGGGGACGATGAAAAAAATATCGCCATCGTTCCTCGGTTTATCCTACATATTTGAATACACTTATATGGTATTTGATACAAGCAAATATTGGAACTAGCTTGCATGAAAGCTGCCGTAGATGTTATGAAGATACAGGCCCCACAAAGACACGTCTGGAGAAATGTTTGATCGACATTAGAATGATTTTCATTTTCTAATTGTTGAAATTTTTTATGCATACGAAATCTACCTGAGTAGGCTTTTCCCAGTTCCACTAATCTTAGACAATTCAAGCACCGGATTAGCAGAGTTTATACAATTCGAAAATGGGTGTTGACCTTTCATTTCAAATAATTGACCCTGAATGAGGGATGTTCAGAATGTTAGCTTGATACAATATTGTATGCTTAAATATTTTTTTTTATATAACCAATAAATAGCAAATGAAAATAGTCGGAATATTGCCGCTAAAGCATGTCTCGAGAGGCGTCTTTTTGGGGAATATAACATACCTCCGAAGTATCTAACGCAGTTTTCATGCAGAGTCTCCATATCTGCTTGTATCAAATAGATATATAACTGGTTATCTTTTATTAATTCATTCAAATAGTTAATAAAAGTTGGCATTTTGACCCCCTATAGCAGGCTGAAAGCTGTGATTCCAGTCCCGGATCCCATGTTCACTGTTTATCATAGTGGTATGACTATCGACTTGCAAGGTACACGTTCAACTCGACCGAAAGTGTTTTCTGCTTTGTTTCTCCGGAGATGCTCTTTTCGGCCTTATACCCTGTATAAGTCCCGAAAAAAGTGTGCAATATTCTACCAGCGGTCTCTAGAACTTAAAATAGGAAGAAAAGTTTATATAAACATAGGTCGACAAACGTCCCCTAAGGGCGCTATGGTCTTTTAAAAGGGCTCCCCTGAAGATGGTTTTTCCTTAATATTTCCGAAACGTGTCGAGATAAAGACATAAAATTTGGTATTCTAGCCTAGTTTGTTATGCTGCATTTAAAAATATTAACAATTTTAGACAGTTTTGTTTGTAAGCGTATGGAACAGGGACGGACTCAGGTTATTTTAGCCCCAAAATTTTTGTGTTCTTCTATTTTTGAAATTCAATTTTAGAATTTGAAAATTTAGGTTTTTCTACATAAAAAAGGTACTCTTATTGAATATCGATAAATTGTGCCATTTTTTAATAAAATCTAACTAAAGAATTTGTCACATGATAGTACTGCGAATTTAAATGAATTGTTAATTATACATAGTTAGCCATGACAGCAAACAAAAGTGGTTTTGAGTTGCTATGACTTATTTTGACGTTAAGCAGTGTAAAATTACTAGATTTA